GCTGGGATCCCAGCCACAGGGGACGAGCACCAGCGCCTGCGCCACGGGGCGACGCAGGCGGGCACCGAACCTCCCAGGCAAGGAAAGAGGGCGGCGTTGTGCCCACGTACGGGGAAGATCTTCCTGGATCAGCATTTGAGGTCCCCAAATCCATCACCCGGCAGAAAGAAGCCATGGGCAGAGATCAGAAACACCGAGCAGATCAAGGAGAGAGGATCCAACCTCCCATGGTTGCGTATCCCTGACCCTGAGAGGGGAGAGCAGCATCTCTGGGATGGTAGCCACACGTAAGGTGATTTGGTAGCCACACGCAAGGTGACTTGGTAGCCACACGCAGGTGAATCTGGTCCAGAGCACTTGGCTTTTCCAGCTGCTCCCTGCCTCCTGGGATGGGAGCCGACCCCGGGGAGGGCAGATGTGGGGCAGCCCCACAGACCAGCAGCAGATGGACCCAAGGTCATAAAACACCCCCCTCGCTTGGGAGGGGAGGATGGAGGAGGCTGCATCTCAGGTGCTCAGCGCCAGGTCTAAGCATCAACAGGAGAAGGGTGAGCGGGCTGGGATTCGGAGAGGAAAAACAACCCGAAATAACCCCAAATCTCTCTGTATTCTCGGCAGCTTTTTGCCGGAGGCTCTCGCAACTGAATAATTATAATAATTCATTCTGAATAATTCAGCGACCCGCACAGCCTCTCCGGGGGACGAACGTTTCACCATCTGCATTCAACAGCAGACACCAGGAGCGAGCGGCGCAGTGCGCAGCATGGGAACGGGTTATCCCGGTCGGTCACACCGGGAGCAACCCAAAACAGCCTCCACCAGAGCCCAAAGCCACCCCGGTACCGCTCCTCAAAGCATCAGCTCGCTCCCCATACAAGAACAGGGCAGAAACGCTCGCTGCTCAAAGCCTCTGGTGAAAGGAGGCGCCGTTTCCCTGCGGTTCTTACCTCCTTCCTCCACTTGAGCTCGCAGAAAACCCGCTCGAAGCACTCGTGCATGTAGTTGAACTGCAACGAGAAATCGGGCGTCTCACAGCAGCGGCCCCGGGAGCCCGGCACCGGCTGCTCCCCACGCCACGGGCTCCTCCTGGCGGCCACCGGCTCCTGTGTCCCCTCCCAGCCCAAAAGCAGAAGCACAGGGAGCTCTTCCAGCTTCTGGGAGGGAAATCGAGCAGGCTCTGGGTTTTTCTCTAGCAAATGAGCAAACTGGGGGTGGGGGGGGGTACTTACATAGGGGGTGAAGATTTTAACCCATCGAGGTTTCTTCTCTCCTCGCGCGTATTCGAAACAAAACGCCATTCCCTCTTCGTCCGTGTCCCACCGCTGCATCTCGTCCCATTCGAACGCTATTACCTGGTTCTGAGCGAGACGAAAAGCCAGGTGAGGGCAGAGGAAGGGGAGGTTTGGGGCAGATGAGGTGGCAAAAGCGATGCAGGAACAGGGACGCAGCGTGGAAACACCAAATAAACCCAAAAATCTGGGGGCCCAACCGCTGCCAAAACCCCTTCAGAAGCAGCCCCGGAGCCTTGGGGATGGGCGCTGGTGCTGCCCCCATGGCAAAGCTCCTCACCTCCAGCTGCCCCTCCTCTGTGCAGGCGTGGAGTTTAAAGTGCTTGATGCTGATGGCCGTGATGACATGTCCCTTCCGCCGAGAGTCGCAGGAGCAGTGGGGGAAGATGATCTCGTTGTAACCCTCGCACGTCCGTAACATGTTCAAATACTGCGGGGAAGAGAGAGCGAGCAGTGGGCATCAGTGACCAAAGGGACCCCCACGTCCTCCTGCTTCCCAATGCCCTCCTGCTCATCACCCCCACGGCTTTACCCTCGTGCAAGGGGGCTGGATCCCCCCCGAAACACACCCAGAGCCTGCAGGGCTGTGCCATGGGGAGGAAGGAGCCTCCTCCAGACACATACAGAGCCCCTCAGTGAATCACAGGATGTGAGGAGTTGGAAGGGACCTGGAGAGCTCTGCACCTCTGCAGCCTGGCCAGGTCCCTCTGGATGCCATCCCGTCCCTCTGGCACATCAGCCTCACCACCCAGCTTGGTGGTGTCAGAACTTGCTGAGGGTGCCCTCAATCCACTGTCAATATCATTAATGAAGATATTAAACAGCACTTGCATAGAACAGTTTGGGTCGGAAGGGACCCCAAAGCCCCCCAGTCCAACCCCCATGGGCAGGGACACCTCCACCAGCCCAGGCTGCTCCAGGCCCCGGCCAACCTGGCCTTGGGCACTGCCAGGGAGGGGGCACCCACAGCTTCTCTGGGCAACCTGGGCCAGCGTCTCCTCTCCAGGCAGGTGGGATAACTCACCATGACCATCTTTCTCTGCTCACACAGCTTCTGTAACTGGTAGGACTTCTCCTCTGCTTTGATGTAGCCTTTCTTGACATCATCAACAGCCTAAAGGTGAAAAGGAGAAAGGGAAAGCCAGGTCAGAGCAGAGGACTCTGCACTGTGTCGTGATGCTTTGCCTGCCCTGGCAGCCCCAGAGCTGCTTGAGCACCCAAATTCACAGCCCCAGATGCTGACCAGCAAGGCAGAGGGGTGGCTCTTCATGCCACGAGCCTCTGCCCGCCCTGGGGAGCACACAGATGGCTTTGGAAGAACGACCCCTGGCAAAAGAGGACGGATCTGGAGATGCTGGTACAGGTGGTTGTTGTGTTCACACACAGGCAAGGACAGGCTTGGTACAACCCTTCTCCTTCACAGACAGACACATCCTTCTCCAGCAAGTCTTCTACCCACATGAAAATGTGTTTTATTCCTCAGGACTGAGCAGGTTCACAGCCCCTTCCCTTCGCTCCTCAGCTGCACATCCCAGCAAGGACTCCCACCCGTGGCACAAAGCACCTTGTAAAGCCCCCAGCCAGCGAAGAGCCAGTCTGGGAGGTCAAAGAGCTCGACCACAACTGGTTTTACTTCAATTCGGACCAGAGGTTGGTACAGGCCCAGCTCAAAGTGCATTGGAGAAGTGTTTTTGGTGGTGAGAGAGTCACAGAATGGTTCTGGTTGGAAAAGACCTTTAAGATCATCGAGTCCAGCCATGGAAGATGGATTCATCTTATTGAACCCTGCAGTTATCGACCTCTGAGCTGCTCTCCCCAGACTGGCTTCAGGCAGCGGGACAACGCAGCTCTCCTCAGGCTCACCTCATCCTGGAGAACCTGCACCAAGTGAAACCACAGGCAGAGACATTCCCTTCCCAGCACCACCATGGACTTCCACTCCTTGAAGGTACCCAAGCAGGACTGGCCCTCAATTTCCCCACTGGAGCAGTTCACCGGGTGCTCTCATTGCCTTAACTCCAGGAGAACCGTACGGCTCTCGGGCACCCACCTGATGGAAGAAGTAGGTGACGGCCAGGTCGTTGTCGTTGAGAAGAACCTCCTCCTCTGTGGTGAAGAGCCACTTCCGGATGGTCAGGCATGTCCCCGGCACCGCCGAGGTGTAGTTCTGCACGTAGAGTTTGTGGGGGAATTCGTTGGGCGCCAGTTTGCGCACTGGGACAAAGGAAAGGACACGGAGGGGTGAGCGCGCAGCCCCGCGCAGCATCAGCATCTGCGGCCCGGCCGCTGCACAAACCCACATGGGCTGAGCCAGCCGGGACCAGGACCAGGACCCAAACTGTGCTCCAGGGCCCCTATTTCTCCTCCCTGACACAACGCAGCTTTTTTTCAGCACTGATTTCACAGCTGCTCCCTTGCAATCGCCTCCGGTGCACGGGCAGGAATCTGAGCGAGACCAAACCCCTCTCAGCGCAGCTCTCGAGCATCATCCCCACAGCCCAACTTCATCCCCCCCGTCACCAGCGATCCCCTGTGGAGCCGTTTGCTGTGTCCAAATCTGCTTTACCCAGCTCTGATGGACTGCAAAAGGTGAGTGCTGGTACCTCTCCTTCACCAGGAAGGGATACTGAAGGGTCGTTAACTTTCTGCAGATGGAGCTTGCAGAGGAATTAAACGGAGCGCATCCAGACAGGAATAAATGTGGACGTCCAGAAAGCACAAACCATAAAGATCAACTGGAGTTTTCCCCTCTGAGGTTCGAGGAGTGCAGGAATTAACAGCTCCGGTTATGGGGTCTGGCACCGTAAAAGCTCCCTGCATGGGGCTGTGCCAGCGTTGCAGCTTCCCCGAGCATGAGGGTCCCCGTGCAACCTGGAGACAACCTCAAATCTCTTCCCTCGCTGTGTCCATGGCCCATTCTGGCACACCAGGACCCAGAAACCCTCAGAACATCACCACAAACCCAGCTGTGCGATGCCAACTGGTGAGACTGGTGACGGTGGCTGCCCCGGGGTCAGCATGGGAAGGCAAACCCAGCCTGGCCCGTGAGATGAGGCACTTCAGGAGGGCTTTAAACACCCAGAAGTTGTCCTAGCTGTTCATCTGGGATCTCATAAGCACAAGGAATAGCCCTGGAAATCTCTTCCTACAAGGCACAGCTCACCGTAACAACGGGATGAGTTTGAGACAGAGGTAACAGTCCAGAAATGGCTTTAAAATGGCTTAAAAATCCAGCGCAGAGGGGAAAAAGCAACCCACAAAGCAACCACTGCACCCATTTTGTGGTGCGACCACAGCATTTTGGTCTCTCTACAGCATCACTTGACGTGAGGCTGTGTGAAATTGGAGCCTGCTGCGGCCAGGGATGTGAAGAGCAGCCAGGAGACCCCAGCACGCACTGAGCTGGGAGGATGGGAATTGCCAAAATGATGCCCCAAAATCCCACAATCCAGCCTCAAAAACCAGCAGGACTGAAGCACGGAAGGAGAGCTGAGACGCAGCACATCCCCTCCAGAGCCTGGCCATCACCTCTTTGTGTGCAGACCAAGTGCCCTCCATCACTTTTCTTTCCAGCAAAGGGAAAAAATCCATCCCAATCTACAGCCAGTGTCATGCTTCCCAAAACTGGCTGCGTTGTGGTGATCACAGAATGTCACAGGATCACAGAATGTGAGGAGTGGGCAGTGACCTGGAAAGCTCCCCCAGTGCAACCC